TGTCAGCAAATTTAGGGTCCACGTAAGATGTGTTCTAGCCCCGAGACACATCCCTGAGGACCTAATATATAACCCAGTGATCACTCATATCTTGGTTTGCCCTCGAAAAACACGCAAATGATAACAAAATGTAACACAAATTTCGTTCCTGGGTAGTAAGTGTTATTTTCTGATTGCTTATGCCTCCAAAATATTGAAAATGTTTATTAATCTCCTCAAACTTTGCTCTGACCTTTCATTAAAACAGCTTAGGGAAGACGTATTGAAGATACTTGACAGCTGTCGACTCCTGATCTAGTTGTGATTTTAAGACTTCTTGAAACAGGTCTTGAAATCAAAGCTGAAACAAAGGCCAAAGCCAAGAATGAGAGGTAATAGTAAAATTTTCAATACTTTGGAGGCATAAGCAATCATAAAACAGCACTTGCTACCCAGGAACAAAAACTACACAGTGTAATCTAAACGTATTATCTAAGGATCAGTAAAAGATAAGTTTGGCAGGGCTGCGTTATCCATCAAGGTGATAAAGAGAATGAAGGGTTGAATTACTAAATTACCAGCTTGATTTTCCAGCGATTGCTTGTCGTGTTTGGCAATCTTGGCACCAAGGCGAGGAGCACGAGGTCAAAATCCCTTGCTGAGTGATGGATAGCATTTGTGTGTGCATTATATTGTGTGTGACGAGGCTGCTGTAGTAGGTATGAAGGTCAGACTGTGCTGTAGTATGTAGGAATGTGGAACTGCTGTAGTAGGAAGGAACGTGAGGTTGCTGTATTTACTTAAATGTACCTGAGGGACATCATCTCTCTGGTGGCCTCGACGGGGGCAGGAAGCCGGTGACTTGTCAAAGGTTCCCCGCATTTGCCACTGATGATTCTATCAAGCAGCAGCACGTACACCAGCACCCACAACACGTACACCAGCACCCACAACACGTACACCAACACCCACAACACGTACACCATCACCCACAACACGTACACCAGCACCCACAACACGTACACCATCACCCACAACACGTACACCATCACCCACAACACGTACACCAGCACCCACAACACGTACACCATCACCCACAACACGTACACCATCACCCACAACACGTACACCAGCACCCACAACACGTACACCATCACCCACAACACGTACACCATCACCCACAACACGTACACCATCACCCACAATACGTACACCATCACCCACAACACGTACACCATCACCCACAATACGTACACCAACACCCACACCATCACCCACAACACGTACACCATCACCCACAACACGTACACCATCACCCACAACACGTACACCATCACCCACAACACGTACACCAACACCCACACCATCACCCACAACACGTACACCATCACCCACAACACGTACACCAACACCCACACCATCACCCACAACACGTACACCATCACCCACAACACGTACACCATCACCCACAACACGTACACCAAAACCCACAACACGTACACCATCACCCACAATACGTACACCAACACCCACACCATCACCCACAATACGTATACCATCACCCACAACACGTACACCAACACCCACCACACGTACACCATCACCCACAATACGTACACCAACACCCACAACACGTACACCATCACCCACAACACGTACACCAGCATCCACAACACGTACACCAACACCCACAATACGTACACCATCACCCACAACACGTACACCATCACCCACAACACGTACACCAGCACCCACAATACGTACACCATCACCCACAACACGTACACCAGCACCCACAATACGTACACCATCACCTACAACACGTACACCATCACCCACAACACGTACACCAGCACCCACAACACGTACACCATCACCCACAACACGTACACCAGCACCCACAATACGTACACCATCACCCACAACACGTACACCATCACCCACAACACGTACACCATCACCCACAATACGTACACCATCACCCACAACACGTACACCATCACCCACAACACGTACACCATCACCCACAACACGTACACCATCACCCACAACACGTACACCAGCACCCACAACACGTACACCATCACCCACAACACGTACACCAGCACCCACAACACGTACACCATCACCCACAACACGTACACCATCACCCACAACACGTACACCAGCACCCACAACACGTACACCATCACCCACAACACGTACACCAGCACCCACAACACGTACACCATCACCCACAACACGTACACCAGCACCCACAACACGTACACATGCCTAATATTTGAACTTTATACTCTGACCTCTTAGAAAACTCGTTTGCCTCGTAATATTTAACAAAAAACAAACTATATGACGAAATATATAGCTCACCTTGACCCAGTGATGAGTGCAATAACAGTGAAAACATATACTATGATAACTACAACCACTTCATACCGTGAAGACAATTACACACCATACTACCCATACTGTGAAGTCAGTTTACACTCAATAATATCGGTATTGAAACGTCATAGATGGCCTATCAGGCGCTGAGGACATTCATGAGGCGTACGGTGACCTTGGCGCCGCGGAGGTGGAGTCATATCATGCTGAAGAGGGAACAGTTTGTGCACCAGGTGGCCGGGGAGCAGGAAATATCAGGGTGAGAGTAAACACATAGTGTGAGGCTGACACACACCGCTAGATGATAACGGTCAATATAACTAGCTCCTAGGCCAGTGTGGTGGATTGTTGTGGTGGTGAGGGGTGATGGTGATAGGGTGTGGTAGTAGTGGTGAAGGAATGTGGTAGAGGCGGGATGTGGTGGGGTTGATGACGTCAGGGATGCTGATAGTGAGGTGGACTCTCCCCTACGCGGGAACGGACACGTAGCACGTTTTCTTTAGAAACATGATTGGGCGTACACACGGAGAGAAGCCTCATTGCTACCCCCTCAAGAAGGGTAGCAATGGCCTAAGCTTCTCTATCTTGAGGTATGTGTTTTATCTCTCTCATTCACACACACACACACACACACACACACACATGCTCACGACTGGTTTACAGGCTCCCAAGTCATCAGGGCTGCTCTGTAAATACTACAATTAGAAGTACTGTATGAAGTGTTTCCCCACCTCTTCACTTGTTTATATAGTATATTTCCTACGACAGTCGTCGCCATTCATGATCACTCTAACCATTATACAAATATTTTCTTTTGTCCGTGTACAAGGTCAGAGATTTCTTCACTTCTTAGTTCATTCCCATTATTCAGTCCATGACAACGGGAAAAATATTTATAATTTCACCGTGCCTTAGTTTCAACTTGTGTTCCCATGTTAGTTATCTACCTATGAGAAATATACTCTGCCCTTACCTACCCTCCTATACCTAGGAGGCCTGGTCGGGAACCGGGCCGCTGGGACGTTGAGCCCCGAAACCATCGCAAAGTAAGGTTAATTGTTAATTTAAATTTGTATTTTGTATGCGGTGTAGTCACCTCGTTGTGCCTGCGGGGGTTGAGCTTTAGCTCTTTGGTCCCGCCTCTCAATCGTCAATCAACTGGAATGTGTGTGTGTGTGTACTCACATATTCACCTATTAGCATGTGGGTGCATGTAGGGGTGAATACTACGCCTACACACTCCCGAGCCAACACAACGGAGCCTACACACAACACAGCCAACACAACAAAGCCTACATGGAGCAACAAACCTGGTCCGACACACGTAAACCATATACCTGACCCTATACACCTAAGCCAACACCTTTAGATCAAGAAACGCGAGTCTGCATATGTGACCGTAGACGGAAATGCCTCAGAATGTCTGGCGTACCACGCCGGGAGCCACAATGGTCAGTCTGTAGATCGGTTCCGTTCTTGAGGTGCACAAATTACGTGAATAACGGATTATGCTGATCATTAACAGCTAACCAATGTTGGCAAACTATGGTGTAAATTCACATTATCCCTCGAGTCTCAGATGATGAAAGCCGTCTTAAGTTGGAAAACTGGTCTAAGAAATGGTAAATAAATGCGGTCCAGGGTGAGGCATGCTAATACAAACCGTAAACAAGGAGGCAAAAGTAGTGAATAGAACCGATGAAGGTAAAAGGAAAGACCTCAGAGTAAGTTGGTGCTAATAATCTGAAGCCAAATTAAGCAAGTATCTCTCTCTCTCTCTAGAATAAAGGATTCGAACCCGCGTGCGACGGGATGTTCAGCAGGTGTGGAGAGCAGCAATATGTGACACGCTATAACAACCGCCTAATATTAGAGCTCTAGTACTACTCAGCACACAACTGCTAGAACTACTCATGCGAACAACTGAACAGACACGTATACTGTTACAGATGACTACAAATTTTATATTCGGAGCTTGGTGATATATTTTAGTGTGAGAATGTTGACAACATTGTCTGTATCAGACGAATTGGGAAGCACCCATCTGATAAAGTAAGGTTGTTGGGTACGTTGTTCGGGGTGATGTCAGGGGTGATTAGAACGGGGGAGCCGGGGAGGGTGGGGGGGGAGGAAAGGACTGGTTAGGGGGTTGGATAGTGTAGGGGGGGGGGCGGCAACCTAGAAGCGGGTTGCAGTGTTGCATATAGGAAAAATATGTATATTACGGGGGTTATGATGATCATGAATCTATGACCAAATTCTTATGTTCAGAGTTAAGTTAGTAATTCCTAAGCATTGTGTTGTAAGTTATCTCCTGGCCCCAGTCCGGTGATTACTCACACATAAATGACATGACATTTATTGAGCGTCAACAGAACGGTGACCAACCAAGGTCTTGAGAGAGAGAGAGAAGTTGAGATTACTGGAGCGAGTTGTAATGTGGACCAACACATTCTTACTTATTTAATTTTCAGCATCACCGGTAATTCTACCATAAAACCAGCCACCCAAAGAATAAGTAACATTCAAGACTTATCAACCCCCACATGCGTTCCACGTGCTCATTACAACCACTGAAGATACTCTTCAGTCACAACTCTTATCCACAGATTCCTCTTTCATGGTTGTTAACTCACTTTATGACTGCTGGAGAATTGGAAGGTGGTGTTGCGGTCCCAGCAGCGGGTGTTGTTGAAGGGGTTGTGGGCGGGCGGTGGACGGGCAGTGTGGTTGTGGTGGAGGGTGGTTGAATCGTCACACAGGTGGCTGTACAGACCTTCCACCTTGAACACGTGCACCAGCTGGGGCCACCCGAAGACTGTGCCCGCGAAGAGCATCGACTCCACTACACCAATGATGAAGATGACTACCCGCCTCGTTAGTGAGAGCTCCATGAGCGGGTCTTGCTTGCAGTGCATGATGGTGGTGGTGGTGGTGGTGGTGGAGGCGACTGGTGGTGGTGGTGATGATGGAGGCGACTGGTGGTGGTGGTGATGGAGGCGACAGGTGGTGGTGGTGGTGATGACAGGTGGTGATGGTGGTGATGACAGGTGGTGGTGGTGATGGAGGCGACAGGTGGTGGTGGTGGTGATGACAGGTGGTGATGGAGGCGACAGGTGGTGGAGGCGACAGATGGTGGTGGTGGTGGTGTAGAAGCAGGTTTGGATCACCCAGCAAAGCCTATATTCTCACACCTCACTCGCTGGTGGGGAGAAAAAATATTTTGTTCCGGTGACAATTAATACAAATTACAAAAGTTAAAATAATAATAACACTGTTAAAGATAATAATAATAATATTAATATAACGTCTGCAACAGTCACAAGAACACTGATGAAGACCACAGACAACAACAATAATGATGATGGCTTTAGACGTTCAATTATTAGTCTATTTCTTGTGCAATTCTACTACTAATAATGGATCCAACTGAATGGTGGTCATTGGTTAGGTTAATCTAGAAAATTATAAACTATAAAATATATTCAACAACAACTCATATTAAAAATATTAAATTTTACATTAATTAATAACTTTAATTATTTATTCCTTCTGTAACTTTATTCATAAATTGCCTATGATAATTATGCATTATATAAAAATGGCATACTCATTTATGACATGATGCTGAATACACGATAAGAGACAATACAAACAACAGTAATTGTTTCAATTCTAAAGACATTAATAGATACATTACAATAGACAGGATATAATTTGTAGTAATCTACCTTTCCTAGTGATGAACCCATCCTCCTGTAACGATAGTACTTATAGTAACTATTTGATCGAAAGTACCAAAATGTAGTGATGGACCACCAGAAATTTACTCTTTGTACTTTTAAGTTTATAGTTCGGAAAACTAAAACTAAAAACAAACTTAAAATATTCCTAGACCTATCATAGCACATATATATGTACTTTATTAGACCTAAAATAGCGTGTATTATACCTAGGATTACTGGGAAAGGCTAGGTTAGGTTTTATATATTTATGTTGCTGTTAGAAAAGTTTTCCATTTGGCCAAATTTAATAACACCGTACATAAATTTAACTTTTTGGTAGTCCATCACTATATATATTGATACTTTCGGCCAAATAATTACTATGAGTACTATCATTTTAGGGGTAATGGGCTGTAGTGATATGTAGCTTAATAAGAATTTTTAATGAGGCTTTTATTTACTAACAATGCTTGAAATATGATGCACGTACAGTACTGCACTTACAAATACTTAATAACGTGAAGCACCCAGTGAAGGGTATGCTTAGTGTATAACCTTTATTTTGTAGATAACAGCATAGGGCATAATGTCATAATGTTAAACTAACAATAATATAAAATGAATGATTAAGGGTAAGTACTGACCAAATTAAAATTGTACTTCATTATATATATATAATATATATATATCGGCTTAGGTGAAGTTAGGCAAGGATTTTGTCTTTATTATTAATTATTTTATATTCGTTGTGCTTTTGTAATGGATGAGCAGTTCACAGTACTATATATGTACAACACAATATGCAGAGGACGAGTCAGAATAACGTTACCTTGAGGTTACCTTGAGGTGCTTCCAGGGCTTAGCGTCCCCGCGGCCCGGTCGTCGACCAGGCCTCCTGCTGGAGGCCTGGAGACGTGGCTGAAGATATGATGAATTAACCACTCAGAAAAGGGTTGTGTGGCTTCTTAATCTTATAAAGCACAATGATACATCCATACAAAAAGTTAGGTTAGACTTTTATAATTAAAATTCATTGGTCCAGTCTTCAATATTTGATTCATCATAAATTAATATGTAGGCCTACAATTTCTAAAATAAAATGACAATATTATTTAGAACTACACTTTATAGTAAAAAACCCACACATCTTGCATATACCCCACACAGCAGCTTCCCGATAATTATCATGTTCAGCAGAGTCTATTTACTTGATGATGATTCATATAAAATGCTTTGCTATTATTTTGCTTGCAAAAACATATCTAATACCAATGAGAGAGAGAGAGAGAGAGAGAGAGAGAGAGAGAGAGAGAGAGAGAGAGAGAGAGAGAGAGAGAGAGAGAGAGAGAGAGAGAGAGAGAGAGAGAGAGAGACAGAAGATTGACAGTTAGCATCACAGCATGTCCGGGGGAGGGGGGGTGTCTCCCTTGGATGCTGGATTTAGCAATCATAGGCTCTTCTGATTTTGATGAGTCAACAGTGCTCGTTTACTTAATAACTACTGCCATAATATCTTGCTATGATATATATATATATATATATATATATATATATATATATATATATATATATATATATATATATATATTGTGACATGAACCTATTATGGCAGATATTATGGAAGATATTATGGCAGTAGTTATTAAGTAAACGAGCACTGCTGAATCATGCTGATATAAAGGAAACGTTTCTTAAGGACTTGCGTAACTTCCGGATGAATATGGCCCCTGAGCTGCACCCTGTCACCCTACCCCTGCGTGCAACCCTTAACCCCAAAAGCCTTGGGATACATGGGGTAGTCCCTCAAGCTTAGGGATACAGGGGAGATCCTCAAGCTTAGGGGTAATTGGGGAGCTCCTCAAGCTTAGAGTTACTGTTCCTATTGCCCTTATGTTAACCCGTCACTGTCTTCACTAACTACACTACACAATTAGTGACATTCAGATAGGTAAAGGCTCACATAACCAATCGTTGAACGACTATCTTAACTTTTTCAACACCTTTGTGTAATCTGAAGTAAAACCCCATTATCAGCACAGGCTTCGTCGTCACTTGATTAGCGTCAGGTATGTGGGAGCTGCGTTCGTTTACTTCCTTTATTATGCTCCCCATGTGTCAAGTTATACTGTTATTATACTCCCCATGTGTCAAGTTATACGGTGATTATGCTCCCCATGTGTCAAGTTATACGGTGATTATGCTCCCCATGTGTCAAGTTATACGGTTACTATACACCCTTTGTGTCACGTTCTCAATGCCACATATATTAAGTGTTAAAGGTATCATAATTTCGTGTATTAAGTCCTTTGGATGTTATAGACCATATATAGGTGTGTCGGTAATCGTCACAAGAGTAACACTAACGTCTGCTAACCTCTTGCCCAAGCGGTATTTTTAACTGTTTATCAGAAGCGATAACGTTCCACTGTACGCCTCCGTCAGCTGGCCCGGAGCTGTCAATTATCTGCTTTAGCCCACTATATCTCTTACATGTTCAGTTGTGGAAATAATGTTCTGGCCAGAAACTATGAGTTCATTAGATAAGCTCACAGTTCTGAGCAAGTAAAAACAGCTTTAATATTCGGGGTACCAATGAAAAGTGTTTTTTTTCACATGTAAGCAACCTGTTCAGGATGGATAACATTTTTGTTCAGTTGTTCACAACATATTGGTAGAGGCCTAAACAAATAGTAACCTAGTTGGGCCATCACCAACCTCGGCTCATGGCGCTACATTCATATTTGCTCCTCGTCTCACGGAACTAAATTGCTCCTGTCCCCCGTCAAGAAACTGTTCCTGTTCCCGTTCCAGTCAAATAATAACTTCATCGAGTGAATGACATCACAACTGGCTATGAATAACGACTTCACTGAGTTGTCCTTATTCATTATTCATAACAATTCCATTCCCCCGTCCCATCCCAAATCCTCATCCAGATCCCTTAATTCAAAGTGCTATATAGTCGCAATGGCTTGGCGCTTTCTCCTAATACATCCCTCCCCTTCGCTGAGTGAAGAATGACTTCTACTGACTGATTAATATCTTCAACGAGTGATTAGTGACTTTACTAAATGATTAAGGCGCCAATCGAACATGTGGCAGCAGCGTTTGACCCCTAGGCCTAAAAGTTACCATATACATCTGACGTCATTGAATGATTATTGATAACCCTGATTGGTTTGTCACTTGTGACGTCACTGTGATCTTCCTGCGTGCTTAGTAATGGGCAGAATGCCACAACTAATAACCCCCGCACGCTCGATACCCTCGCTTCTTGCAGGGTCGGCGTTCGATCCCCCCAATGACCCAAATGGTTGAGTCTTCAAATCCCAACTAATGTCTTCATGTGCCCTCCATGTGGTGTATGGTCATACTGGCTGAGCGCCTTCGTCACACAAATACCTCAACTAAGGTACTGACGTCACTATGTGACTGATAAAAAGACTTCCTGTGCGATTACCAATAACCTTGATTAATAATGGCTTTACTGGATAATTATGAATAACAACTCTATTCAACAACGACCTTACTGCGAAGTTAATAATGGTATTACTGATTACTTCCTGATCAATGTCATACATGTATATAATGATCTTACCTGAAAGGCACGATACCCATTTATCCTATTAACCAGTTTATAAAGATCTCACAAAGGAACTCATAGCAATTCTATGAATTTTATAATGACTATTCTTGCTCATAATGATCATTCTGTAATTCAAAATCATCCAATAAACTCATAATAATCCTAGCTCAAAATTATCCTACTAACAAAGGTCATACTAACTCATAATGGTTCTAGTAAGCCGTAATGAACCTACCGAGTAACTCATAATATCCGTAGTGAGTAATGCATAATGATCAAATCCACAAGGGCCGTGACGAGGATTCGAACCTCCGAGGGGCTGCAGGATCAAGTGAGTTCAGTAGAACTTCGGTTTCAACTCTTTTGACCATGTCGTAGCTCAGTCGACTAAGGCAGCGTCTAGGATGCTCCCGGATGTAGGTTCGAATCCTCGTCACGGCCTTTGTGGATTTGTTCATTTGATGCATCACACTATTGTGATTTCTGTGTGTAATGCATAATGATCCCGCTGATTAAGACCTAACATAATGATATAATACAATACCTAAAGGTCTTACTGCTTAATTCCTAACGCCCATGTAGAGTGTGTCCAGGACCCAAGCATTAGGACCACAGGATATGCGCTGTCGCTAACATACTCAGAACTGCACTCTTATCTTGCATTCGTAGGAGAATTATGTCATTTGTAATGCTTAAGTGGTGAGTATAGATGCTGATATGTACGGACAGACAAGCACATGCACCGAG